TATCTGACCGTGAAAAGCCCTGGTCCGCATACTACAGTAGTGGTCACTTGGCCAGTGAATATAGCCACTGATCTCTAGTTTAAACAAACTTTATTGTCACAAGAAACTAAATTTAGCAGTTGAGTAGCATCATGTCATTCCCCTGTCTAGACAAGAAACTCAAGATGATTTTGCATTAATTAACCCTTCAATACAAAAACTTGCAAAAAAATCCTTCAAATATTGTGTAATACCCAGATTTTTCAAAGGGTTTTAATTTGTTACTGTGTAGTAATTTTGGAGCCAAAAAATGATGTGTATTGGGGAAAATTTTACAGGAAAAGAATCAGTGATGATTGTCGCTTTAAGTGCTGTGGTAAATTTTAGGCTTCGCTTTCTACAGAAGTACAGAACGGCCAAAAGAGTTATCGCTTTGTTTCAGAAACTTGAGCTCGTAGACATCTGCTCAGCAAACCTAATAACTGAACGAAATATAGCCAGTAGCCACCAGGATACACTTGTGTGTGACAATTTCACTTTTACACAACACGTATATATGTGACTGTTTTGTAAAATATAAAAGCGGATGTTGCCTGCAGTCTACATGGGAGTGCTCTGCAGTACTGTCAAATTTGCCTCGGATGTAAAGAAATTAACATCTATTGGATAGTACAGAAGTGAATTTAGGACACCCAAAAAAGGAAAGAATGTGTTTGATTGCAATTTGCCTGCTTAACAACGTACATGTTAACACATTCCCACTGAACATGTAGAAAAGCTTTGACTTAAGAAGAGAAAAGTAACTGGCCATATTCTTGGTTTTAAGGGGGAAATCTGTCCTCTTTTTTTTTCTTGCTGTGTGTGCAAGTATCTACTGTAAACAACCATACTATTTTTGACATGAGAAGCAACCAAATAATTTATTCAATGTATCAAATTTTGGATCAAATCCTGGTTGTTTAGGATCTAACCTCCTGAACCATTATCCAGCTAAACACTAATCCCAACTCGTATCTCGTCACAAGCCCGCAACGTGGACTGTGGACACAGCAACCCTCTCTCTCTCTAGACTCCACCGTTCTTTTCCATCATCTTTCTTCCTCTATTCAGTCCTTATCTCCTCAGGGGCTGTCTGTGCTTCCGATGTTTTATTAGCCGCGAAAGAAACGGCCAATTCGACCTGTTCCCCTTTGTGAAATTAATCCTAAATTAACTTCATTGCTAGGGTCAACTGCTAAAAGTGCAGCCGCCCCATTGCTTGGTAATATCGGAACCGCATTGGATTGTTCCATTCTGGGCTTCCCCAGGGTAATAATGGGACTTGGATTTAATTTACTGGGGTTTTTTTGGACAAAACTTGGCAAGGTTTGAAGGAACTTGTACTCCTGTGACTGTCAAAAAATGTTGATTTCATCCCGAGATGTATGCACTCTACAGTGGAGTGTCATTTTATGTATTTAAATGTCTTCATGCATTTGGGTAAAGAGTCAGGATTTGTTATCAAAAGACCCAAAGAAATTGGAAAAAAAATACATACTTTGATGAAAATACCCAAATACATACATTGGACCTTAAGAAAATCATTAAAAAAACAGTAAGATACAGTTCAAAATTATGTGAGCACTCCTCTGAAGGCCTATCTAAAAACTCACAAGAAAGCATTATTTCTAGGGGAAAAAAAACGTATATCATTATCAGAATAATCGAAAAGTATTAGGAATTATCAAATCAAAATCGGATTTAATATTTATGGCATAATAGTGAATTGGAGTTCAGTTTAAAAGAAAATTAATAAACCGAGGTTCACTGAACACTCGAAGTGCAATTCACTAGTTTGTTAAATGGAGGTGTGAATTTGATAGTTAATGGAATGAATGGCACAATTGAAACTATAATGGGAAAAAGCACCTTTGAAGTGCCGACTGTTTGTTCTCAATAATTAAAATCTGCCAACCGTAGATGGCCTTTTCGAGACCATTGTTGAAATAAATTGAAGCTTTTTGGGGGGTATTTATGATTGTTAAAATGATTGATCCAAAATCTTTCTTCCTGTCTAAAGGTGGCGTGCACTCTTTTTCTTTTTTAAATTGAGATTTTGGTACCCTACTCAAGTTGGAAATTGTCATTATCATATCTGTTAAATAACGTATAGGAACAGGGTTTTAAAATAACAAAAATATTCTCATTGGACCTACCGTACATGTACAATGTATACGGTATGTATACATGTACACTTATACATATTTGTGACAGAAGAAGAAAAATGTTACAAGCAATAAAAGTGTTTTTGCAATATTTTTATTTAATCATTATTTTATTATTTCTTCCAATAAAAGAGCGTTTTTATACATAAGATGGAATTCGTGTCGGGAAGATGTAAATTTGTACCCCCAACAAAATTGTGTGTTGCTTCTTTTAATACAGAATGGAAACTAAAACCCTCTTTTCTATTTTACTTTCATGTTCGTAAAGAATGACAAAAATAAACACAGGCTTAAATGCATAAAAATCATTGATTTTCCAGCATGAAATAAATCCTGGGGTCCGGAACTATTTTGAGGGTAAACATGGCAGTGTTATTGCAGGCCATTCTGTCTTCGGATGTTGACACCAGAAATCCATATCGTACTCATTTCCTATTCACGCAAGCCGACGCCATGCTGTTGTTTCCGGAAAAATCTTAGGTCAACATTCTGAAATATTATTTCTGCTTTTTCGAGAGTTTTTACACCGCGTGAACTGTGATTTCTGCACACCAAGGCTAGCATGACAGGCGTATTGAGTGGAACAAAAGTAAACATAAGACAGACAAATGCATTACGCACAATTCAAGTGTTTTTCTGTCGTTTTCCCATCTTCCATTGATTTGTCTTCCCTCTCCATTGTTATTCTTTTAAATTATGTCTCTTGTACTGGTTATTCAACCTTTACCTACACTTTCTTTTATTGTTACATTCCCCTGTCTTTTAAAAAAAAATTCTCAAACTTTCAATTTTTCCATCATTTTTGGGGTCTAATTTCCTCTGATTTTCCTGGTTTTTTTTTTTATTAGGCCCTATTCCTTCCTCCATCTTCCTTTCTTTTGGTCACCTTTTAATCTTTCTTCCAAAGTCCCCCCTTCAAAATATTTCTCCACCTTGAGTTCTTATTTGTCTGTTTTTCATCTTGTGCAGCTTTCTTCTTTTCAGACTCTTTCACCATTTTTTGTTTCCTCCGTTTTACTATCTTTCACCCTTTTATCATTGCTCATCTTCTAGTTTTTATTTCAATCTTTCAATCTGTATTGCCTGCTGAAGAACCTCATATTTTTCAATCTGTTTTTTTTTCTCCTTTTCCTAACTGTCCTTTCACCATTTTGTTGTATCATTCCATCTTTTCCTCTAAAAAAAACCCACCTTTTCCCCTCTATTTGTTTCCTATCGCACCGATCTTCCTCTCAGTCATCCTTTCACCATTTTCTTCTCCATCCCGTCTTCCCTTTTCAATTTACACAATACCCCGAGTCCAACGACTCATGACATTTGTCGAGAATACACCTCAAAACAAGTGAGAAACGGGCAAATGTTTTCTCAGTGTTCCACTAAAACGTCCCTTGGAGTCAGAAACTTTTCAGGACCAAACTCTGACCTTTTCACCAGCACTCTTACTTCAGGGGACCATCGCAAACATCGTCTAAGTGAGTGTGCATGCCCGAAGAGCTGAGTCTTGTGTATTTGAATGATGGTGTAAGAAACTGTCTAGGAGCGGTTTGGATGGCAAGGCGTCTATTAGTGATGGCGAAGCAGACAGGAGGACAGTGCGGTTGACTTGTCGACAGTTCGTGTAGCATCTCAACGGGGAAACCTAAGATTGAGAGGTGTCCTTGTTGCCGGGCGAGATCGATATCGATGAGAGTAAGAATAACAGAGAGGAGCGCAGGAAGACAAATGGAGGACTATGATAACACAAACAGCAGTCCTAGGACAAGCTCTTGGCTTGAGTAACACGGTCACCGTGTTAAGCAAGCAAAACAGCTCCCTTGAGTCGAATCTACATGGAATTGAAGACTAATGCTTATTTTCTTGAAAACTGTAGTGTTATTCTACTGAAAAACCACTGCGACATTGTCAATACTTGATTCACGATACAACGAACATGATCCCACTAACCATACACAGGTACACCGGCAGTGCAAACAATACATTTCAAGTGAAGTTCATTTACGCCAGGTACGGCACATGATGTGGGACATCACTTACATACTGTATAAGGTCCTAAAAATGTAGCACTGCCTTGTTACGGTACATGTACTTTGTTAATGTGTGTAAATTGTTTTTGAGCATCCCAGTACATGTAGGTCTGTATTGCATTTTCCCTAGTTTATGCATGTATGTATTTACATAAACTCAATTTTTGTCATCCGGCGGTGTACATTTATGCACATGTACATGCACATTTAAGAATTAGGTTTTTCTACTGGACATTTTGCTACTTGTAATCTGCAGTGCAGATTTAACTACTAACTACTGGTACTATCCGCTCACCAGTTCAATAAAAAACGGATCCTTGATGTGTATTTTCAATTAAGGACATGCTTTTCTTTAGAACGTTACAATGTAATAATATGAAAGCCATTTTCACCCCTTGGCTGAAACCTTGCCCAGAATCCTGAGCTACATGTAGTGCGTGCACGGAAAGAATTTTACCAAATGCTTCACTCCAGAGGAATGTAAATTCAATGACAATCCCAGAAACTGGGCTGCCGGTATGGCACGGTCACCCGTTGGGTATTGGAAGGCGATAAAAAACCAGGCCTGTCAAAATACCAGGCCAGATTGAAGACATTTTTGTCTCTAAAACAAAACCAGATGTGGGTCGTGTTTGATAAAAAGACTTTGAATCTGAATGACAAACATATGGTTGGTAATAATGCAGATTTGGTCATCATCTTTAGATTGTTTTGTACACTGATGATGTTTCTTGGGTGGTCATTGGTCTCTGAATTTCATTTTCTGTTCTCTTTTTTCATCTCTCCGTAACAGATGCATCCGCTTGGGCTGTGTAATTCTAACGAAGATGAGGAGCCTTTTGATTACGGCTGGGTGGGTGTGGTCCAACTGGCCTCACCCCTAGATGACCCTAAACCGTGTCTTACTATTTACCAGAAGGTGAGCTGTGACATTGTACTATTAATATTATTACATGTATTCAACCTCCATCAAAATAAAATTTTAAAAAAGTTTAAAAAGCAGCTAAAATTTGTTAATCAGAAAACAAAAGAAATGGAAGGCAATAACAATAATGGCCATTTTAAGCACTGAAAATTGCAAAATGATGTGGTTCCCTAGTGAGAAATAAAATAGTCAAAACACGGCTGCAAGAAAATTGTAAGATATTAAAGCACAAGACTTTTAGATTGAAGTTTGCATGTTTTGTCTTCATGAAGTAAGAATTGCCTGGCTTTATTTCTATTATTCAGTTCCATGATATTGTAATTCTTTTAAGGAATTGACATTTCAATTCAAGCACAGCCTATCTCAAAGGTTAAGTCGGTGCTTATGGAAACCAGAAAAGGCACTTGTTAGTATAAGTGCATTTCCCGGATCCACTTTTGCAGTCGGTCGCTGTTCCGTGTTTTGCATCGTGGGGTATTGAAAGTGAAACATTCATGTGTTTTCTGGGTTGAAAGGTTCAAGTACATACCAAAACGTGCACATTGGTCTTTGAATCTAGGGGACTAGATCTGAGCGTGCTCACTAAGTGCAGTGAAACTAGATCAAGGGTTCTCCATCTATAGATCCACGCTAATATTCCCTCTCCTTTTATCGTCGGCCGGCTACTTCAACCCTTTCACGACTCCGTTGATACCGCTAATCCCCATCTCCCTCGGTAACACCGCACAACTCTACAACCCAAACACCAGGAAGCAATTTTTGATGGATTAATTTCACATTTTTTGTCCCAGCAAACGCAGGCACACTTTTAAAGGACCTTTCGTGCGACCACCTATTTTTTAATACTGGGAGTTAATAAAGCAATGTTTACTCAGTGATTACACAATGAACATGCGGGCGAGCAGTTGCTATCTCCGGGAATCAGCAAACTTGTCCGGATGAATAAAAACCAGCGCTGACAGCGACCGGTAATCTGGGATGATAGATCTATCGGCATATTTTGTTCCACTTCCCCCTCCAGCACTGTCCCTTGGATTCAAGAAGGCGTCTCAGTTTACCAATACAGGGAAAAGATTGAAGGGATATCGCGGATGTCCACCAGAAAATATGGATCTGGTGGACTGAAGAGAGGTTGTAAAATGCCAGGGCCTGGGAATATTATTTTTTATGGTGCCCCAACGGAGAACCAGGGATCGCTGCCGGGGCGTATGACTTGAACAACCGGTATTACGTTTCTATTTAATGGTTCATAGAGAGGTCTGAATACCGGGAGAGCTCGGCTTTGGATTTGGACACCCATCTGAATTCAATTACATCAACCTACACAGTTTTCAAATTCCATATTCTTCACATTATAGCAACTGGAGACAATTTGTTTTCTCAAAAAAGTAAAATTTTGTTTTGAATTGGTTATGAAGCATAGAAAGTTGCAAAAGACGTTTTCAATATTCAAATAGACCTTGACGTGGGACATGGAATTTTCTTCATGAAAATTGAATGTTTCATTTTATGACGATTTAATAACAAAATTAAATTGGCTGACTAATTATAATGTAAGTCTTAAATTTTGATATTACCTGAAAATCAAATGTCTAGATTTTTTTTCAAAATGTGAAAGAATTTTTGTTACGACATTTTAGCACATGTACCGGTACATGTACATACATAGATTTTGCATTTTATTATTTTTTTTCCCAATGAAGTTCATTTACACGTATGTACAACGTACACGTTTCATGAAATGAATTTTTCTTGGGAACATATTTTGTGCAACTCTCTTATTTCAAGTACTTACAAGTATAAAAACTATTTGACAACCCTTTTTGGTTTATTTTATTGAAAAGCACACTTCTTTAAACATGTAAAAATGTCATTGTTTTTCCAGACAACTGAGGGTGCTGTTGCTGTGATGTCATTTATCGAAGACACTGTTCTGTTTAGGGGTTTTCTGTTCAAATTGTGAACCCTACAATTTGCTCACGGGCTTGTTGCCATGTATTGCCACAACAAAGAATCACTAAAGGAAAGAAAATTGATGACAGCACAATATTCAAAATTCTGTCAAATTTGAGGTTTTTGCCTGAAATGACATCACACTTTTTCTCATGAATACATTTTATATATATGGAAATTTTCAGTAGCTTAAAAGCCAAAAAGGCACCACAATACCCTTGAAAATGGCAACAACAAAAAAAGAATAATGTGAAATGGGACACAAAGGTGCATTTTCAAGGATTGCGTTAAAAGAAAATTGCATTACCCCTTTAAAAATTCTTGTCACGTTTTCCTTAGCACATACATACATTGTATGTAGTGCTAAGCACATAAAAAGCCACATTTAATTGATATTGATTTGTATTTTATTGATCTACCGTACGTCATGTACTTGCCTTAGTCAGGAGATGACTACATGTATTTCATTTCCCATATCCATTTTTCAAACTCTAAAAAGACGGCCTGCACCAACGAACAGTGTACTGTACTGAATATTATTAACATTACTTTGCATAAAAAAACCACTAAGCATAATGTGTGGTATCTTAACCATGAAATTAGTTTCATTCATAATTCAGAAAATACGGTACATGCACTGACAGCCTTGATTACCTTTGAATTGGGCCATTTTCTATTCTTTTTCTACTGTATTCTCTTAGCATTCTGTACTGTAGACATTACACTTTTGGGTATCCGCAGGACACTTTTTCCTATTTTTGTTGTGAGGGTCAAATGTACCTGTAATGCCTAGTCATGTATGTTATCAAAGAAAGCGCAAATGTATGATGTTATACTGAACATTTTGATTGTACATGTAACTTGCAATAGAGAGACAAAATTGACTCAGAAAAAAAATCCATGCACTAGTTTCTTAACGAGAAATCAAGCAAGCTGACGTTCATGTAGAACTGTACTCAGTAGCACATGAAGCAGATCAGAAAGCATGTTTTTTTTTACATCAATCGCTTTAAAAATGACTCGGGGATTTGCATGTTCGCTAAACGAGGGTAATGTAATCACATGATCTAAGTTCAGGCCTAGGTGTGTCATCACTCGCTTGGCTTGGTTGGTAACCTCATCAAAAGTTCATTCACTCTACCGAGTACCGAGTACCGTACCTATTAGAAAAAAAAATGAGTCTGGCTGTACGGCAGCAGCGCTTGTCCTGTGTCGCGCGCACACTCACGTTCACCCACTCCCTGGTTGACTCACAGCACCCGCGCCTATCAGATGACGGATCACCATCCGAAGTCGGGAAAGCGTGTCGGTACAGTTTGATCTCGCTAAATGGCTATGACAGCTCCTGCAACTGTGAAAGGAATCAATGGGCTGACTTTGTGGGCACCGACGGTCTTTGCAAAGTACCGACGGACTATTGTTATTCTAATCTGCTGGGTAGCCTTCGACTGGAAAAACCCCTCTTTTTTTCCGTTCCACTCCGCTGCCTGAATTTCAATTACACTCTCATATATATTTTCCCCGGCACAAAATTAAGGTTGTTAATTTTGGCTGGGCAGAGAGGATAGTTTGCCTAGATGCGCTCAGCCTGCAAAGTCACAAATTTTCCTCCTGAATCGATGAAGAAGCACTCAACGATCTCTTCAAGGGTTTCTTTGTTCTGATTGACTTCCGCTCTTGGTTCATTCCCACAGCTCCCCTTCTTTTTGACAAAAACACAAAAGGGATTAATTGAAGGTAGCTTATAGGATTATCCCTCAAGTCTTGTCTGGTGAAATTGATCCCTGGATTCCCACACTAATCCCTTTGGAGGAAACTCTTCCATATCTTTTGTTAGTATTTCAGAGCCCTGCGGCGAGGGTCTATGAACTCTGTAGACCCACCAAACTCATTTGGCACGTTCACCTGCGAATTCTTACACTGTGCGCTGTAACAGAACAATAACTTGATCTTTTTTACAGTTAAGACCTTGAGCTCTTCAAGGATGGATAATTGACTTGCCATCCCAAAGCTTAAGTCATCAAGCTTATAAGCCATAAAGCCATTAGGCCTACCCTTGAAATAATGTACGGATCAAGAATACAAATCCTCAATTCGGACTGTCCATTACAGGCAAAGCTTTCTACGTAACGATTATTTTCATTCTAAATATTAAAACACAATTATTTCTTAGTTTAAACCAGAAGTTGCCAAGTTCTGCTCATTTTGGATTGCTGGGTAATACCATTAACTGATACAATTGATATAGGGAAAAAAAATTGGTTCCACAAATTGATTCCGTTGATGCCATTGACCTTATCAATTTGACAAGTTTCGAGAAATAGTATTCATCCGTTTGTTAAGTTATTTCAGCGTAGTACCGGTACCGTACTTGTGAATGAAACCATTTGCCTTCTAATTTTTTTTTTCAATTTCTTTACTTCGTTCAATCGGAAGTTTAATACTTTTTGTATCTGATACATGTAGGTCAGATCGTTTTTCATCTGAACCTTTTTATATACGCGTACTTAAGCGTACCACAAAAATAATTGTACATCCTGGATTTCTATTGAACCATTCATTAAAAAGAAACAAGCGTTTAATTGGCAGGTGCAGCTTATTCCAACCGGACAAGGGCCTGACGCTCCCTACCCCTCCCCCATATCTACCCACTTTCAGTCAAGCAGACACTGTACCGTTGTGACCTGCCGGTTCCGAGTCACACTTGACTGGCGTAGTCGATGAAGCCTGAACTGTTTTTAACTGGTTTTCCCTCCTGCGCTTATTGATCCGTTTAGGACATGATTGTCACAAACAGCCCGTTTCCGCAATCGATTTCCACAAAATGTAAAATCAGCGAGGCACACTAATCCACACTTACAAACACATCCATCAGTATACTTAACTTTTTAAAAGACTTTTTGTTCTAATTTCCAATCAACATTCAAACACGCATTGTACATGTATGTGATTTTGTACAGGCATGTTTCAAAAACTACAGAGGCTTCCATTCGATTGTTCTATCCCTAAAACAACATCGGAACAAATGTAGAGAGTAGAATTTGTTGATTAGAGTTACATGTGAAAGGAAAGATCCCTCTTTTTGTTTTGCGCTTATTAGATTTTGTTGGGTTTTGCAAGCTTCAGACTTTGTTTCCTTTGGAGTCTGTTGGATTAATGGGGGGGGGGTGGCTTTGTTACAACAGGATGTGGGTTGGGGTTAATGCGTGACGTATCATTCTTGCATAAAAAACAGGCCCAAAAAAAAGGGTTAACAAAAGAACCCCTCCCCCCGAAAAAAAAGATGTAGACAAAAACAGAATGGCAGCCTTTACTTGATCCTATTTCCGTGGACAGTTTGTACACTAAAATATTAGTAAAATTCATTAAAAAATTATGTTTATGTGGAAATCTAAATTTCAATCTTCTCAGAATTAATCGTTTAAATTTTCTGTCTTTATTGTAATGCCGGATGTCCTGAAACAAACATTTGGTTTTAGGGGATATGTTCCATACCGTATGCACTAAATTTCCGACAACTTTTTTATTTGGAAATGAATATGACTGACTGCAAACTGCTTACTGACTACCGGTAGATGGACCTGAAATACACGAATCTAAACAATTAATGCGGCGTGGCATTGCGAACTGAACAAGTTTTTCTTCGGAGGCAAAATGACGGAGGTACCGGAATAAGAAATAACATTTTTTTTATCGACGTCATTCTGTGATTGAAATCTTGATTTCCTACTAAAATTAATTCATCCATTTACAGAGGTTGAGATACCGGTACAAGTGTATTTAGCCATAAGGCAGTAATTAAAAAATAATAATAATAAAAAATTTACTAATCGAGCAGGAAAAATTGTTTTGAAAAACAGATCCCTCAGGCAAATGCATAATGCTCAAAATGATATTTTCATTTTCAAAATTACTGAGAGATAAAACTGTTACATGTTCATAAAGCCTTTGACACATGTACTGGTACCGTACTTGTGAGGGAAAACCATCGTTCCTTTGTTTTGTTCTTTTTTGTTTCTATTGAAATCTCAAACTCCATCCTATTTTCCTTACTGTGCAGATAAGATTTCTAAAGGCGCACTTCTGGGATATTGTCCCTATTGCTACTCTGTGTGCTTGCAACCCCACTTGACATACATGAACATGTACTTTTATGTACATGTACAACTCACAGTATCTTCATATTTCAATCTTTAACCCTGATTCTGTTTGAACAGTCACAGGCAGTCAAATATTCCATCCACTTCCCCTGCCATGCCTTTTACACAGGCTAGTCACCAACAGTCAGATCATGATTTCAAGCATCACTCTTCAGGACTAGTCAAATTCAGTTAATATAAGAAAGTAGGCAACTGGTAGGCACAGCTGGCTTATCAATCACCTACAGTCAAAGCATAGCTGCATCAAGTTACATTAACAGTCACAGCCAGTCAGTCCTGCTTTACGTGAGCTGGGAACTCTTAACTGTTGAAAACAGTCACTTGATTGATTTTGAGTGCAAGGACAACTTTGCACAGAATGTATATTTGCAAGGGAGGGTTCGCAAAACTGTAACATGTGCAGTATGTACATGTACAATGTACATGTACGTACATTTTTTGCAAGATCTTTACATTTTTGTTAAAAGTAATACATGTATGAGGGTGGGACATACATTTTGTTGTATTTTTTTAAAGGGTTATTTTGTGCAGTGTTCTGTGAGTGTATATATTTTAGATTCTCGGCATGTACATGCCTGCCTGATCTATTTACCCAGCATTCCAAGGTAATGATCTTGTTTGTGTGCCGTCGTTCCCTAATAGCCCTCTAATGTATTCCTGTTTCCATTGGCTGTCTCTTGTGTTACAGGCCAAGCGTGCAGTGCAGCTAGGTGCGACGGCCGTTATCTTCGACGTGACGCATAATACAGATGCCATCCAGGAGGTAAGATCCTATACACACAGTCGCTCAAAAAAGGAGAAGAAAAAAGGTTAAAAAATCACATAAGACCTAAAAGGAGGTTTTGGCTTTTGCCTTTTCTTCAGCTCAAGTTTTTGTAGAGATTTGAACTCTTTAAAGAGTATGCTTTCAGTCATCTTTTAAGGAAATATCTTAATTTTCATAAAATTTGTAATTTTTAAGGTTAGGAGATGGGTGGGAGGGAGATGGTTAATTTACAAAATTACCAATTCTGTTGTTTCCTGAAAATCAATTGAATGTAATGCACTTTTCGAAATTACTAACTCTATAGAAAGGCAACAAAAAACGTTAAAATGTTTGGCCCAATTAGCAGTTATGTGTAATGGTCGATGAACTAGCATGAAATGCAGTTACCAACAAATTGGCCAGTCTGCCGCCAACCTTTTTTGTTACATCGATGCGAAAAACAGTTCTAGGAAGAAAGTTCATGAGTGAACATCACGGGAGCCCTAGTGATTGAGTTAATGATTGGGTTTTATTGAGCACTGCAAATTGGAACAGCTTGCATTGCAGTGGCCCGCACCCCCAATCAGAGACTAGATTGGAGGTAACGTTGGCACACTGTTCCTCCCTAGTTAAGTGATGCCCTGGGGATGAGACCGACGGACCTTTAGGTCTGGTGAATAGATTGAAGCTATCACGCGACGGGCGAGTTCACATCCATCTTGAGGTGATTAATAAGTTGGGAATAAAAGATGCCTAGTTAGCGGTCAGTTACACTGCGATACTGGAGAGCAGTTCCCCTCGATCCAGTTCAGTGTCCAAACTGTTTAAAGTGATGTACCGGTATCTTAGATTCGGCCAAAAGTTCTAAGGTACCCCCAGTACATGTACACGTACCGGTACTTGGTTTAAAGGGAATAAACAACATTTGCAAACATCCAAAAATAAAACTACAAAGTTTTTATGAAATACCTTACTAGGATGTTGGTAAATGACAGTCTTAATTAATTAAGCATCCTGTAAAATTATGGTACCTGGTGTGAAGTCATTTTCAAGAAAATGGTATTTTTGTATAAATTTCCAACGGTGGTTGGCCGACCACCATTGGAAAAACCTAACTATTTTTCAACTAGTACTACTCCAAATTTACCTTTTATTTTTTCAGTCCAAATTTTGTTCGCTATTGGTTACATGTTCATGAACGGTTGCAGGCCAGCTAGACTGGTTCTCTTACCTTACAATTTTCCGGCATCTATAAATTGATCCATTTCATCTTTAGTGGAGTCAGGGAACCAGACTTCTTGAATATTTTTGTTTTTCTTGGTTTTTCCAGCATTTTCGAACACAAAACTTCAAACATGTCAGTTTAACAATATTTGATCTATTATACTAACCCCTCAAATAGTTCATTTCTGAAAATTACAGCAAAAGCCAATGATGTACATTCCCTTTAAACAACTTGTGGTTTCATAAAAAAAAATCATGTTTTGCTTTATGATAAACATTTGTATTGCTTGTCATTACGGCTATCCTGAATATTAAAATATTTGAATATTCAATCTCATCAACCAAATATCATAGTTTTTTGCCGGTTTGAATTTTTTATTTTTTTTTTAAATGCAAATTTGTACACACATGGCTGCGATGTTATTTTAATCGTCAAATTGTGGTGCTTTATTGTCAGATGCCACTTTTTGTTTAATACACTAGCAAGTCAATTGCTTTAAAAATATGTTGATATACACTTGGCAATTTTGATACTGCAACAGGCGCACGCAAACTATGTCAATCGGCAGCCCATAATATCGATTGCCGTACGCACATTTGAACTGACGCGTTTTGCGTGCAACCTATGACCACGTAGTTGTAGTGTAAAAATCATTCATAAATGGACTGTCCGTTTGCTTTGGAAATAAAATAGGTTTAAAGGCATGCTTTAGTTTTTGTGAAATGCAAAATCTGAAAATTTGTAAGCGTATTTGGAATTATTTTTAAACGTAACGTATGAGCCATCTTGCTTCATTCATGTGTCTCCATCCCGAGTGACGTATCGGCAGCCTGACTCTGTACATGAAACAATTCCCCAAATGTTCCTGTACAACACATCCTTTCTGCACCATCCCTGGCCCCCCTTCTAAAGGTTTCTATTAATCTAATAACATCCATGGAGCCACCCTGAAAGGGTTTTGATTTACCGTTCCTACAGTACGGTACATCTTCATTTACTCTCTGTACTTTGAACGAGAAGGAAGAAGAAGAAGAAGGAAACAGTCAGTCCGCAGCGCACGCGATAATGAGGTCAAATCCCGAACTTTATGTGCACGGGCTACGTCACGAATCGGCCACGAGACTTACACGTGTTATTGCGAGAGTTTGGCAGCTTTTTTTTCATGAACTACACGTTGCAAATGAAGTAGCGGGTCTCCAAGATGGCGTGGTAAGTCGAAAGCGAACGTTTTTCTGAATCGAATGATATAAAATATGTCGAGATTCAGTAAGTTTTTGGCGGAATTTTGTTCACTCGAAGTTGGGGTGTGATTTTGAGGATTATTTTTGTTGTGTTTTTAGTTCCTGCGCCCTGACTGGACTAGGTAATAATGACGAAAATGATCACCACACATCGATTAAGGAAGCAATGAGCTTTCGTTTGATATGTATTTTAGCTTGTGGCGACATGTTTGTAGTTTTTTCTACGACACTTTTCGTGCGCGAGATTTGAAGTTTTTCGGCCATTTCTTTCGGCTTGTACATGCGGAGCGTGTACAGTGTGACTCATCGTGCACACGAGCACATGTAATTTTTAGGGATTTTTGGCATTTTTGGGCATGTTGGGGGTGGCTGATCTAGTCAATTCGTCATGCATGTTAAAAATTTGTATGTACATTTTGCTCATTTTTTCACAATTTAGGCCTATACAAATTTGTTTATTTACAATTTTTCATTTCATTACAACATGGGATCATACATTCTTGTTCAGCTTCCTAGCTATTTACACCAAAATCCATTTCTATCAACTTCTATCGTGTATGGATGTCTGCTTTTCATGGAGATAGTTGTTTTTAATATTTTACAAATAATGTAAATTTGTTTCTTAATGCTACCGAAACGGTTTTTGTTCAGTTAATTTTGGAAAATTCCCTGGGAAAACTATACAGCATACAGTGCATTTTATAGGCTATACACTAATTTGCTTTTGGTCATACAAAGAAAAGTCGTGAAGAAAATCCTTTCGATAAATTTACAATCCTCATATTTTTTTCATTCACTACCAATACAGGAACCTGTTCCAGCCAGTTCAATGCCTCGGTCCTCAGTTGTCGACAGTTTCATCGCCTCCAACACGGGAACGGTCACGTTCACTTCAGTGCCTTGGTTGGCATGGTCCTCATGTTATGTCGTTGACATTGACAATTTATCATCTCTCACACAAGAATGTTTTCTGAGACTCAGATTCATGCAGTATTAAGTTCCTGTGTGCAGATTTTATGATTTTTGTACTTCAGTGTAAAGGCCGGTTCATATACTTGTAGCGAATGGAAAGCGACATTGACATCATGAAACCTTCGCTTCAAATTTGCCGGAATTGAAACATGCTCAACTTTTGTGGAATTGCAGTGCCGTGACGTCAACAATTTGAATTTGCATTCGCAGAGTATGATCCGGCCTTTATATGTACTGCGTTGTGCAAACAACATCATCACCATTTGTTGTTGCCATGTTAAACACGGTTATTTAAAGTCATGCCACGGATACCATGCCAAAGACAGCAACCAAAGATTATCTAACATTTACTACATGTAAATATTGCTTCATGTACATAATCGTGATTAGTGACACTATGCCAAAACTGTGGTTATTGTTATCATCTTCACTTCACTGTAAATTGTTTAAATTGAACCTGTTACTACCAGATTTTAGCAGTTTTTAGATTGTAGGAGAGTTGATGATATATTTGCTATTGATTTTTGTTGACGTTTATTTCTTATCCAGACAGATGTTGTCAGACATGTATGCCAAAACTCATTTTTGAAAAATGTTTTCCCTTCTTTATGCAAGCTGATTTTTATTCTGACTGGAAACATGGGTATTATTAACACATGTATTTGCAATTTGTGATGTGAGGTGTCATGAAAAGAAGTTATCTGAGTTTTCCATGAGTGTTTCAAAGCAAGGATGTGATGGTGTTATTATACAAAACTGATCTAGTATGTTAATGCTTGCAAGAACATGTACATGTAAGTTTATTTATTTTTGTTATTTTTATTATAAAAATCTTTGGACAATAATTAAAAATCTATTTAAAAAATAAAAGTAAATTGTCCTGGTCAAGACAAACGTTTGTAGAAACTGTCATCAAAGATGAGTCAGCCCAATTAAAAATTAAAATTTAGAATTAAATAAATACAACAGGCATTTTATATGAAAATAAACAGTTCTTATATAAAACAGTTCATAACATGAACTCAAAGTTTATAGGATTTTTATAAGTTGTGTTTTCAAAATTGTCTTCAATAAATACAGAAAACAAATATCCTGAAATAACTTCAACTTTGTCACATGTACATTTTGTTATATTTTGGATTTTATTATTTGATAAAGGGGATACAATTTTGAAGAAAAAAACGTCTAAAAGTGTTAACTTACATTGGCCCTGGACACATTTAACTTAACAGATGAATAATTTCCGAAGGGTTCTACGGCGACAACAAAATAGTTCAAATCCTACCGTAAGTCCCTGCACAAAATTCCACGTGCGTATTGTAACATGGATACATGAACTACACGTTATTATGAAATCTTTCGTGATGACGTCATTTTTGGCCAATGAGGGCACGGGAAAACGACGCACTGTCATGGCGGGATGTTTCGTTGTTGGGTTTTTGAAGATCGTTAGAATTTTCTGCGCCCTGACTAGACTAGCTAAAGATCAAAGCGAAATCGACAATATTTGGATAAAATATAGTATTATCTCTGACGTTGGTGTGAAATTGAGCTGTGGCCGCTGTCAGAAGATGGAGAAT